CCCTGCAGGAAGTCCTGAGGGATCATCCACACACCTACAGCTTTCCCCAGATTTAACCAGGTAGTTTAAAATTGAAGAACACTGTTTCCCTTAATCCTGAGTTGCTCATCTTCCCATGATGGTCCTTGGTCCAAACTACCTAGGAAACTGAGATCTAAAGAGGGCCTCACGGAACCAAACTCTGTATGTTATAAAATAAAACATCAGGAAAGGCCTTCCTCCAGTCACTATCATGTCTCAGGCTTTAGACTAACCCTAGGTGGCTGCCCTAGATGGATTTAACTCTGCTCAGTAGTAGAACTAATGATGTAGGCAGATGGTGCAAGGCCCTGGTACCTGCTGCCCTCAGTCCAGACGCAGCACCTCATCCATTCACTCACCACAGCGCCAGAGCCTGTGTCTCCTCTCATCTGTTCCTCTGTTAGTAAGAAGCATCTCTTGTTCTGCCCATAAAGGCCAGTACTTTATAATCTTCCTGTTAGAAGTAGAGATATAACTGGTCTTCTGGGAACCAGATGCAAATCCTGGAGATTTGCGCAGCTGACCTTGCTGAGGTCCCTGAGCTCTAGGCCAGGCTGCTCTGAGACTTGGTGGGAAGCCATCAGGCAAATGCTTCTGTATCTGCTGATTTCTTGCAGAAAGATGCTCAGGCACCTCATATGGAGTGGTTATTTTTTCCAGAAGACCCAACCCCATGAACTACAGTGACAGATGGAAGCAAACAGATAACTAGAGACTGAGGCACGCTCTGTCCCTCTGGTGAGGGGACCTTGAAGAATACCTACACATAGAAAGCATCGGCACAGAATCTTGCCAGATTCTGCCAAAAAGGAAACAGAGTAGCCAGAAACAAGCATCAGTGCTTTAACCCTGGGATACTTTCAAGAAAGGAGGAAAAAGGGTTCTCCACTTAACCCCAAGGTGCTGCTTAGGAAATGACAGTGTTTGAAAGTAAAGGTACATTCATGAAGCAAACTTTCTCTCAGCAATGCCCTTGGAGAATGTGTGCCAAGCATGAGGTAGTGGAAAACTTCAAGGATATCTATTTCTAGATCTGTCACCAAATATGGGATTACGAGCAGGTGACTTCCTTGATGCTTGGTCTTTATTTGAACGTTATAGGTGATAATTGCTTCACAGGATCGTTAATTATTATGATTAAATTAGGGTATATGGGACTGGGAGTCAGTGTTCTTCCAAAGGACAGGAGCTTGGTCCTCAGCACTCACATCTGGCAGCACAACTGCCTAATAACTCCAGCTCCAGGGCATTCAAGTTGTCTTCTGGCTTCCAGGGGCACACACTCGCAGGCACGCATGCACACACACAAATAAAATAAATCTTGTTTTTTTCCAACACTCATTAACCTTGTTTATTGTAGGAGGAGCTAATGTGGGAGGAGTTAGGAGAGGAAGAGGAAGAGGAGGAGTAAGGAGGAGAGGAGGAAAAGGAAGAGGAGAGAGAGAGGAGATGGAGGCAGATGTTCATGTGTCTGTAGTAGTCAAAGGTAGTTGGTATATCTAGGTTGGGTATTGGGTTACACTTCTGATAGCATGGATATCTTGTTACTGATCATTACCAAATATATAAGCCTTTGATTAATCTTTAAGCATTAGAATCTCATCTTTCTACTAGGCCCGCGTAGATGGCGGGATGGTCTGGGCAATGCCCAGCCTTGCAGATACAGTGTGGAAGATTGGCAGAGCCATCTCCCACACTGGCGTCTTGTGGGTGACAGGGCTGGTGTTTCTTTCTGGCCATTTCTAGCTGCAGCATGCATGTGGCCTCCGGCTGAGAAACATGGTGGCTGAGCTAGGCAGAGCTGCTGCAGCTTAGATAGTCGGCTTAACCAGAGGCCAAGTTTAAATAATTATTACAACAGTTTATTTCAGAGATCTTTACTTTATAAAATGACTTTCCACACCTTCTTTCAAAATACAAACTTCGTGTGATTTTTTTTCTTGTTTATTGTTTGAGAATTTCCCACATGCATACACTGTGTTTGGATCAACTATGTACCCCATTCCCTCAACATTTTCCCAGCCAAATTCACGTGCTTAAAAAAAATTTTTTTTAAAAAACCCACTGAGGTTTATTTAAAACTTAAATAAAGTAGAATATATGAGGCCTTCGGAAAGGACTTATAAACTTTACACACTCCTTTGAATTACCCATAAGAAGTTAAGAGCTGGCCTTGGTGTCCTGTCAAGCCTCTTCTGTAACCCGCATATCCCGTTAACCTCCCCCTACTCCACGGTTGTAGAGGACTTCTGATAAGCTTCGTATTTTGGACTTTATCAAACTAATCTAAAAAGAGAGAGGTGCTTCCCCAGCTCTCCAGGTCTCCGTCAGGCCAGCTGGCGGGAGACTCCTTGGAGCTACCTCAGGCTCCGTGGACTCTTGCTTATGTCACCTTGATGCATTACAGAGTCTTAAGATTTGGTCCCTTGGTCCTGTGGAGGCTTGATGACCCAGGGTAGGGGATGCTAGGGCGGTGAGGCGGGAGTGGATGGGCAGATGGGGGAGCTCCCTCATAGTGGCAGGGGGAGGGGAGGGGATAGGGGTTTGTGGAAGGGAAACTGAAAAGGGGATAACATTTGAAATATGAATAATAAAATAGCCAATAAAAATGAAAAAAAGGATTATGCCAATATTCCCTACCCTATATAAAAAGTGAAATACTTCTTGGGGGTGGGGTCTCTTAAGCATTAGCTAAGGTCATTCTGCATGCTAATAGAAAAATAAAGACTTCTCTTGAAAAAAAAAGTTTGAGTTCCCTTCGCTTCCTGTGGGAAGTGAAAGGGGAAAGTTGGGGGTTCCTGAAGGAAGTGGAAGTGCTGCCATAAATCATATATATACTGAATCATATAATATACTATATCACTATGTAGTATACTACTCTACCCTGTCTTTTACTGTTTCTAAGAAAAATCTGAGCAGTTTCCTAGTGAATTTTTTACATTCTTTACATTAAATATTGTTTACATTAAATAAATCAAATTTTTCTAACTAAGTAATATTCCAACATATCTGTTTTCTCGCCTATATTGTATCTGCCAAGCACCACCATTTTTAAACTTGCTCCATAAAGCTCTTTCCAAAGCATTACCTGTGACCAGTAACTGTTTTATACTTAAGGAGTCCTAAAAATGAGCTCTGGAAACCATCATCCTGAGTGTGAATCGTCAGTTAGAGTAGGCGGTCAGTAGAACTGGGGTCTGACCTGTTGGAAGTGGAGGCATGGCACCAGCTTGGAAATCACATACATCTGTGTCTTAGTGAAATTAATTCATCAAGATGATGATGGTGATGATGATGAGCAGGTTTGAAACGACCAATCTGACGCTGCCTTACCTCAGACTTCCCATCCTCCACAAACTCATGGGGTTTTTTTTATGAATTACTCAATCTGTGGCATTTTATTATAGGAATCAACAAAGGCTTTAACTTGGAGAGTAAAGGGCTGTCCCATAATTCTGATACATTGTTAAAACCAGCAACTGGCCAACACTCTGTCAGCCTTTCTTGCCCCTCTCCCACACCCACTGATCCTTTCCTGTTCCCAACTGGCTCTCCTTCTTCTTCCGTATCTTTGGGGCTTCTTAGGTCACTAGATTATAAATTTACCAAGGATATATTAGAAATCTACTGGGGATGCTTTTCCTATTCTGGACAGAGTGGACTTGCCTATCACCAAGGACAAATTGGGTTACTGATACACATTCAAGTTAGTGGAGACTATGACTAAAACACAAAGTATAAACATCTCACTTCACTAACACACTAATAATGTGCTGGACGGTAATATCAATGACATTAATTCTTACCAAATAAACATTTGGGTCATTTCTCCTGGGGGTGGGGGGAGTTACTGAAATATCAAAGCGCTATCGTGAGTGAAGGGAATTTGGGTCTTCAGTAGTTTGGGCCTTCAGACAATTACCAAGGTGGGAGCTAAGACAACTATTAGTCGTTCTGTGAGCACATTATAGAGTATATATCAACACAACCCTAGGGTGTATATTAATCTCTATATCCTGTGTGTAAACTGAAACAGATAGAGCGTCATCTAGTGGTAAATAGCAAAATAGACTTTGAATCTACCTCTGCCTTATTTTGGGACCTATTTCTTTGCCTGCAGGAAATAGCGACAGATCTTCAGTAGTATGAAGCAAAGTCATTTTCTGGTGTTTACAGATATCTTCGTCCTTTCAGATGCTTGACTCTGTTTTTCATTCTGCTTTCTAGGACTGTCGTATTCCTGGAATCAAGTCCCAGTACAACAGCACAACCTAGAAAGTAGACTTTGCCCGGTGGCCTTTCACTGAGAAAGATCTTTTAAACAGGACTGGAAATTTCAAAGCACGGAATGTTTACTAAATATAATAGCAAGGAAAAGTCAACTGATGATTTTAGCACAAGTTATAATACATTCGGTGTCCACAAGTCTCAACTCCCTTCATTGGTACAACACATACCTTGATATCATAAACAATACATTTCTTACCCCAGACTATTTGAAAAGAGGGGAGCAAAATCGGAAGAAAGATAGAGTGACGGTAAATGTATATGCTTCAAGGGCACTGTATAATTAATATATGCTAATAAAATCAGTGACGGGATCTTTCATTCGGATTTTAAAGAACTATCAGTCTTGAGGGAAGCTATCCCTCCCTGTAGAAAACAGAGTGACTCCTCTCCCATTCAGACCTCTTCTCCCATATGCTCCCAGGTGTGAAGTGAAGACCAGTGTCAAAGACAGTAGATCGATATCCTGTAGATTACATTCTGTTAAAGGGGAAAAGGAGGCCTTAGAGAGATCGCACCCAGGAGGACAGGTTCTGAGTTTTTCTCTGCCTGTGGCCAAGAGTCCGTTTCTGGCATCTCTGACCTCTCTCCTCCCACTCTCCGCCCAGTCTCCGCCCTCCTTCCCTCCAACCCTTGCCACTCAACTCCCCGCTCCTCCCCTTGCTCCTCCCGCTTCCTTCTAGACTAGCCTCTGAGAGGAAACTGAAAGTGAAATTTAGACAGAAGGCTTTCAAAAGCGAAGCTGAAAGCGCGTAGCGGAAGCTGAGGACCCTAGTAAGGTGAGTGAGGCTGGGACCCCTGGCCGGCCTAGGTGGCTCTTTCCCCCGCCCCAGATTCAAGGAGCCTCTTCCCGTCAGCGCCCCACACGCTGAATTTGTGAGCCCACCTGCTGCTTCCTTCAGCAGAGTTCTCTAGTCCCAGTCCTGCCTAGCTGTCCATGCCAGCCTGTGGATGCTGATCTCTGAAAGTGACTTTCCTAGTTCCCTGGAAGGTGCCTTAGCTGAGACAACTGTCCTAGTAAAGGCTGAAGAAGCAGGGCGGGACATGACCTAGGCCAGAGGGGAGCTCAGGGAAACCCTACTCCTTGAAAATCCCTGCTTGAGGAGAGTGCTAGCTAGCCATTTGGAAATTTCTATGGGTTTCAGATCCACAGCGCCCTAAACCAAGTTGAGACAAGTACTAGATTTGGAGTAGCTTAGAACAGAGCCCAGGGAGTGCTTCCCACAAATGTCCATGGATGAGCACACGTACATATTATGTATATAGACATTTATATAGGGGAACGTATGGGCATGCCTACATTGATGCATTTGTGCGCAAGTATAGCTTGCATATATGAACATATCAGGGTAAATAAAAACATCAATGTATATATGTACATACATACATACACACACACAAGCAAGCCTAATAACTGGGAAATCTACTCTTAGGTGATGTACTCAGGGTAATGATGACATCTTGAAGTATGCTTACATCAACATGAGTGGGTCACTAATGACACACCTAGGTTGTACAGTTATCGCCTGTTGCACAATCACGGTATCTGCAGCCCGTCATATTTGACAAAATGACACATGTGATGTGTAGCTGCGTAAACCTTGACTCCTAACACCTGACCCCTGTAGTTATTGCCAAGATGAATGAAGACTGGTATGAGCATATAGCACCTGGCTGGAATCTGGAGGGTCCGTGGTAAACACAGTAAATGGTCTTTACTACCATGACTAACGTCTCTATGCAGTGAAGGCGTGAGATGAGAGAAAGGATGTGGGAGACGTCTGGACACGGAGGGTTAAAGCAGGATGGGTGGGATGATAGTGGAGCTGTTAGCAACGTTATCCCTGCCAGTTTTCTCTGTCTCTTCTGGAAACCCTGTTTCCCCTTCTGCCTGGTCGTCTCGGTGGGTGAGCCTGGAGGAGAGGCTCCTGCTGTTCAGGTTGATGCCCTCGTCTTCTGCTTTTCCCTCCCGTGTCATTACATGTCCCCCTTTATACTATTTTGGGGAGTTTGGGGTTTGCCTTGCTTTTGCTTTTGTCCTGCAAACTCTCTTTTTATCTCTTCCCCCCTCCCCCTCATCCCTCAAGATTCCGCTGCAGATGTCACCCTCTACAACCTCAAAAATGTCTCTGGAAAAGATGTGGGAAGATGTCACCTGTTCCATCTGTCTGGATCCCATGGTGGAGCCTATGAGTATCGAATGTGGCCATTGCTTTTGCAAAGAATGCATTTCTAAGGTTGGGGAAAATGGGGGCAGTTCATGTCCCCAGTGCAGGAAACACTTTATGCTAAGAAACCTCAGGCCCAATTGGCATATAGCCAACATGGTGGAAAATCTTAAACAAGTGGCCCAGAATACCAAGAAGGGCACCCAGGAAATGCACTGCACAAAGCATGGAGAGACACTTCACCTGTTCTGTGAGGAGGATGGGCAGGCCCTTTGCTGGGTGTGTGCCCAGTCTGGGAAACACCGGGACCACACCAAGGTTCCTATTGAAGAAGCCGCTAAGATATACCAGGTGAGGCCTTAGCACAGAGACACACTAAAGAAGATGGCCCATGGAGAGTGCTTTGTTCCCCAGAGTGGTGGCTGAGAAGTAGGGGAATGGAGGGATACTTTCTTCCTTCATTGAGAGGAACTTGTGTATGGAATACAGCTTTATTTCTCAGCAGCAGAGGCTATGCCATGGGAAATGCGACATGCATCGACATGCATCGACATGCATCGACATGCATCGTGCTTTCTCGAGGCTTCCAGGTGCATTAGAAATTCAATGGCACAGATCCAGTTACCCCTCTGGTGTAGCTCTGTTTTTGTAAGACATACTAGGTTTCTTCCCAAGTCTTTCCATCTGCCTCCTCCACGTCTCTAGCTGGGAACTAACCTGCTATCTTTTTCTACAGGAGAAGATCCACTTGGCTTTAGAAAAACTGAGAAAAGGGAAAGAGTTGGCCGAGAAGTTGGAAATGAATCTTGCAATGCAAAGAACAGACTGGAAGGCAAGAGCTGTAGGCTGGGCTGTGTCCCAGGTCTTGACCTCAAGCAAGCCTTAACCATGACTGTGCTATCCAAGGGGTGATAGAGTTATATAGGTCACTCTCCAAGAACCATCCGAATTCTGTCTCCAGATAAAGAGGCATTGAAAGAAAGGAAGGAAGAGGGGAGAAGGAAAGAGGGATGGAAGGGAGGGAAGGATGAAGGAAGAAGGAAAAATGGAAGAGAAGGAAGGAGGGAGGGAGAGAGAGGGAAAGAAAGAAGCTTAAAATCAGATGAGATTTCCCCCAATCTGTCACAAAGATAAAGAATTACTGGAGAGCCGGGCAGTGGTGGCGCACGCCTTTAATCCCAGCACTTGGAAGGCAGAGGCAGGTGGATTCCTGAGTTCAAGGCCAGCCTGGTCTACAGAGTGAGTTCCAGGACAGCCAGGACTACACAGAGAAACCTTGTCTCGAAAAACCAAAAAAAAAAAAGAATTACTGGAGAAAGTTTGTTACATCATTCCTTCTGACCCTATCTCGGGATAAGAGAGTCAACACTAGTCTCATGGGTCTGCAGTAGGAAGCCCACCTGACCTAGTGGCTACTTGATGATGAGCAAGTTATTGGTCCGAAGCCTGATAGCGATTGAGAATTTGCTGGTAGAAAATGAAATACATCTAAAACTGGCAAGGAATGCAAGAGGCTCACAGCCAGTCACAGACCTCAAATGAGTAGCAAGAGGCTCACAGCCAATCACAGACCTCAAATGAGTAGCAAGAGGCTCACAGCCAGTCACAGACCTCAAATGAGTAGCAAGAGGCTCACAGCCAGTCACAGACCTCAAATGAGTAGCAAAGACTTGACCCTCCCATCAAGGCAAAGACTGTTTTCCTGGGGCCACTGTTTTCCATCCAGGGCTTAAAAAGAGTGCATCATTGGGTATGGGAACAGGTTTTACACCCTATAACTTGCTGATATAGAAAGGCAAAGGGACTCACATGGGCATTAGTGGCTTTTGGAAGAAAGGTTGAGAAAGTATCTGGTGCCGGAAGCTTGCAGGGGTGAGGGTGTGAATGTGTGTGGGGTGGGGTGGGTGTTTAAGGAACAGAAACACCTTCACCACCAAAGATTAGGAAATTTTTACTGAAAAACTCTTATCTTCCCTTTGCCACCACAGAGGACCGTTGACACACAGAAGTCGAGGATTCACGCAGAGTTCGTACATCAGAATAGCTTGCTGGCTCAGGAGGAACAGAGGCAGCTGCAGAGGCTGGAGAAAGACGAAAGGGAGCACCTGAGACTCCTGGGAGAGAAGGAGGCAAAGCTGGCTGAGAAGAACCAGGCCCTGCAGGAGCTGATCTCAGAACTGGAGAGGAGGAGCCGGGGTTCAGAGCTAGAGCGACTTCAGGTGCGACCCCTGCGCAGGCTCAAGGAGTAACTTGGAAAAGCCAGCGCTATGTGGAACCGCTCTTAAAACAAGTGCTGCTTTAATTTTTAGGGTATTTTTAAATAAGCTGAAATGTGGACCCTCGAGTGGGTGGCTTCCATTCCAGAACTACAGGGCACAGACACAAGAGAAAGTACTCCATGTCGCAACCAATAGCTAGATATTCCTAGGAGATGCCCACCGCAGCAGGTGCCAGGTGTGGGAACCGTATGTCACCAAGGTACATAGTATCACATACCTTAAATGATGTTTTTAAAAAGAATTAAAAAAGGAAATCCATTCGAGTGCTTAGACAAGCAGCCATAAGAATGGTTTAAAAAAAATGCAGCTTATAAAACTGACCTGTGTCGTTTCTCTCCAAAATGATAGGTCATGGAAATAAACTTTTTCTTTTCCATGCTCAGTTTCTCCATTTATGAAGCCACAGAGGGAGTGGGATCCGGAAGGGTGTCCCTAACACCAGTCAGAGCTGTTGTATATTCATACTTTATGTGTTTCTGTCAACTACCTACATGATTTTTAACATGTTCTGCTTCTACAGGTCTCACTCCTTTCCCAAAGTAAATAATGTTTTCCAAAGCATAGGAACTAAAAGTCATGTATTGGTACTACTATTCTCTTTTCTAATTTTTCCCTTAATGATGATAGTTCAGGTTCCTAAACCGCACACCAGTGGCTTGCCAGGGCTCAGGTTAGTGCTGCTGTGATCCCATTTCACTGAAGAGAAAACATTAATGGACTTAGTGGGAGAGTCCCGCTAACTTACATCAGTTTATCTAAGTAGTAAGAGGCAGAAATTAAGATGACAGATTGTGTTTTAAAGTCAGTGCATACTCTAAAGCCATCTTGCATCCCGCCTTGGTATGTTAGCCTGGCGTTAGAACACTGTCAATCACATGATCTCTAGGTGTCTTTTCTCATACCTCTGTCACTGTCCCTCAGTCAGGTACATACAGACATTTCTTCCTGATTTGTACAGAAAGTTGATCATATTGGTTTGGCTTGGCAGGCTTTCTCTTGCCTGTCACTGAACTTGGCTTTCTGGTGCCTTTTTACAGAGCCTAGAGGCTGCCAGTTCAAACATTATGGCTGTCACACCCTGGGAATGAATATTCTCACTTGAGCTCACTCTAAATAGTGAAGAGAATTAGCCACAACACAGAACAACTAGCCCTTCCTTCACAAATAGCTCAAGCCCATAACTAGCAAGGAGCCTCTCTGGACATCTGCCTCTGGGGTTCAGTCGGGTTGTGTTGTTTATTTTCCTCTTCTACTGGCTCCATAGCCAGGCCCTCTTCTCCAGGAACCTAGCCCTTGTAATGTGCTTTCTCTGTCAGTCTTTAAATCCCTGGTTATATCCTGGCTAAAGGTCATAGCCATGTTGGCTTCCTAGATATTCTGTGAGCCATCACATGTCATTTCTGCTAAGGGCTTGTCAGAGTAGTCTGTGGGGACTTGGCTCAGGGGGATGGTGCAGAACAGAGCCCAGGGGAAACACGGATGATGTCACATGGCCCCAGGAGTGGCATCTCAGTGGTCAATCAGAAACTCCAGAATTGACTGTCTGTCTCTTCTCTCCTCAGGAGGTGAGGATCGTCCTGGAAAGGTAAGAAGAGGTTTCCTCGGTTAGAAAAGGGAACTGGAAGCATGTATGCATAGAAATGGCTATTGACTTAGACACACATGCACCGGGGGTTTTCTTGTGCATCCCTAGTCTCAAAACCTTGTCCGCTCTAAAACATTCTCTACCCTCAAGTGGCTAACAGACATCTCACTTGATGAATTGCCCAATATAGTTAACAAATGTCACCTTCATACATTAAAAGTATGAAAGTAACAGGTACTCTGAGTCTGCTAGGACTCTCATAAGTAATGAGTGAAACCCACAGCATGGCCAAGACTCCTCCAAGTTCTTCACAGAAGTGCCTCAGCCTGTTAGATAGCTCCCTGTAAAATTACATAGAATCCACATGGCCATGACGTCAGGCTCTGGAAAGAAATGGATATTTATTTGAGATTCCTAGAACTTGGAACTCCTAGATCAAAACTGGTTTTTTTTTTCCTTTCACATGGACATTGAATGCATGAGTATCTGTACATTTCTATTGAATTTAATTATCAGAGTCATCTGTGGAGGAGATCATTAAGGCCTGAGGTAGAAGATAGGAGTAGGAAGTAAGATTCTCAAACTCCTTCCCTAGGAGTGTATCCTGGAACCTGGACACATTAGAAGTTGACTCCCCAGACCTGACAAGCACATGCCGTGTGCCAGGGCGGAAGAAGATGCTGAGGACGTGTTGGGGTGAGGTGAATTCTAGGAATTGTGGCCTGGACAGAAAGGGCTAATGAGAGTATGGAGTGGGTGGTCACGGGGAGCCCAGGGTGGTAATGTGTGGCAGAGGTGCAGGTGGAGCAGAGAACGTAGGTGAGGTTTCCTCACACATCAGAGGAAGGGCCAGAGTTACTGTGAGTCATTTCCTCAGATGATGAGGTTCAGGGTCACCATTCACCTTTGAGTTTACATGAATCCCCTCACTACAGGCAAAGTTGCTGGCCTCATCCATCAAGTCTTACCTATGATCTTCTTTCTGCAGTTCATATTACTCTGGATCGCAATACCGCCAACTCATGGCTCATCATCTCAAAGGATCGGAGACAAGTGAGGATGGGAGACATTCATCAGAATGTGTCTGAAAATGATGAGAGGTTTAATCATTTCCCCATGGTTCTAGGTGCCCAGAGATTCTCCTCTGGGAAAATGTACTGGGAGGTAGATGTAACCCGAAAGTCAGCCTGGGATCTGGGGGTTTGCAGAGAGTCTGTACAGAGGAAAGGGCAGTTTTCACTCAGTCCTGAGAATGGCTTCTGGACCATTTGGCTATGGCAAAAAGACAACTATGAGGCTGGTACTAGTCCTCAAACCCCCCTACACATTCAGGTACCTCCGTGCCAAATTGGGGTCTTTGTGGACTATGAGGCTGGCATTGTCTCCTTCTACAACATAACTGACCACGGCTCCCTCATCTACACCTTCTCGGACTGTGCTTTTGCCGGACCTCTGAGACCCTTCTTCAGTGTCGGTTTCAATGATGATGGGGGGAATGCAGGGCCCCTAAAGCTCTGTCCACTAAAGATGTGATAGTCAGGAGCCAGTGCCTACTGACAGCACTTCCCGGACACTTACCTCCTCCTTATCCTGGTCATGATCCAATGACTTAACTACTGAGGACAATTCTGGATACTGCTACTCACTTCCTGTTGGTGTTCTTTAGCCATGAACTTTGTCATTCTGACTCATCTAGTTGGAACTGCCCTAAATCCTCATCTCTTTAAAAGAGTCAGGGTCCCAGAATGAAAGAGTCAGCTGGACATAACTAAAAGTCAATGTCTGCTGACCTTCAGCATCATTATACCCGACAGATTCCTCAATGATTCCTCAGTGAAACAGACTCCTCTCAGTGGTCCCAAACTCATCTAGCTCAGACAAAAACACATTTCTGCCTCCTTTCTGTGACTTCCTTTGTTTTCTCTATCTTTGGTTGTTACCTTTGGCCAGATACCTATCTATTCCTATGTCATCTGTTGCTTGCAGAAGGACTTCCTAAAAATTGTGCTTGGTCTGTCCTATTCAATTCTTGATAGTAAACTCAAAATATTTGTCATTAACCTTGTACATCTTTTGGGTTGGTTTGGTTTTTTTGTTTATTTGTTATGGGAGGGCTTTGGGGGTTTTATTGTTGTTTGTTTGTTTGTTTGTTTGTTTTCCCTCCCTGGAATGCTCTATGCACTTCTTCTGTAGACTCAGGTCAAGAATATTTTCCAGGGTAAGAAACGAAAGCCAGGATAAAGTAATGAAAGTGGTTCAGACAAGAGCAGAATGTAACACTGACAGTATACTCAATATCCCCAGTGATAGCCAAAGTCTAGGTGCCATGGTGGTCTAGTCAGTGAGTCCCTGCTGTTGACTCTCACAAGAACAGCTGCACTCAGCCACTGCCTGCTGTCAGTTTGCAGATATGCTGTTCCCTTGTTCCATTGCCTTGAAGAAAGTGAAATTAGTAGCTGAACTAGTACACAAATATTTTGAGGGCTTCAAAAATGTTGTCAGCAGAGTTAGGAGAAAGTTTGGATAAATGGTCAATTATGAAAATCCAGGATGGTTTCTATGAGGACAACATCACTAGAGCTAAAGATACATTAGCAAAGTCAATTAATGGCTCAGCTAGTAGGCTGAATGAGACTCACGTATGTCCAGTAAAAAAAACTAAGCGTTAACTTTTAAATTGATCTTTCTTCTTTGTTTTGTCTTGGAGTTAACACTGTAAATAATAATTTGTACCTTTTGATTTTCACACTGGTGGAAGGAAACTATTACAAGAAACTTGCAGTTTCTCACATTCTGAACACCATGCTGTACCAGATTATCTCACTACCTGGAGCTGTATGTTACATTGCTAATAAACCCCTTGTTCTCTACTGAAAGGAATTACAAGGTTTCGTACTATTTCAGCTTTCACCCCCATAGTCAATAACAAGTGGTCTGGATACAAGTCTCTTTGTCACATAAAAGTTACCTTGAGAAAGATCTCCAAGTACTGATTCCAATTCTGATTAATATTGATAATATTAATAAGGTCAAATAAAGCCTATTGATTTTCCTGAGCTGCTTTCATTCTACTACCACCTTCCAAATTAACAGACACAAAGTATTAAAGAAACATTATTATCTGTGCTGTCTTTAGCCGGACAGACTCTGAGCATGGAGAAAGATGGGCACAGGGTCCCTCTCCTGGCTAAGGAGTTTTTGACAAATTGCTGGGAGAAGGAGAATTAGCTGTCTTTCAGGGTGTGGACTCTGGGGGGGGCAAATCACCCCCAATGAAAGCCACGTCTCCAGGAGTGTATGGGCAGCATAAACAGTGATTGGTGGGTTACTTTTAAAGAGTAAGAGGAGGAACGATACAAATTTGGTAGGATAGGAAATGGCATGGATTTGGGACGTGTGAGGAAGGGGGATAAATATGATCAAAATACATTGAAATTCTCAATTTTAAAATGAGTTTAGAAAGAAAGTATTGTATCAAAATTTCAAAGACGCTAAGAAAAAAGTTTTAAAATATAACTATAATTTGTTTTGCATTATATGTAACAAATTTCCTGTTTATATGTCAGTCATGCTGTGGCTAATGATAAACATGCAATCAGGGCACAATCAAGAAATATGAAGATTATGGCAAACCTCCGTATTTGACTCAAACTAAACTGATGTTTTGACAATAAACATTTATTAACCTGTAATGTTCACAATGGTTTAATTCAGTTCTTAATCAGATCTACAAAGACTTCTATAAAATCCAATGACTAATAAACAAGAGGAATGCATCCATCACATTGCAAAAATGAATAATAGCAGTAAGCCTGATAGTTTTATCCATATAAGATATTCATAGAGTCTGCTTCCCATCTAAGGTGCATGGACATGTCCTCACCCCACTCTGTTCACACAGAATGGCTTTCTGTTGCATCAAATTTCTTTTTTGTTGTTGTTTTTTGTTTTGTTGTTTTTCGAGACAGGGTTTCTCTGTGGAGCCTGGGCTGTCCTGCAACTCACTCTGTAGACCAGGCTGGCCTCGAACTCAGAAATCCACCTGCCTCTGCCTCCCAAGTGCTGGGATTAAAGGCGTGCGCCATCACTGCCCGGCCATCAAATTTCATATTATGTAAAATTTCTAACTCAAATGTGCTTTTGATTAAATATATGTACACCATTACATTAATTCAGATTCAGTGTGGGCATTTTCATTGTAATGCATTAGTAAAAATCATTGTAAGTAAAACTTTCTTGTTTTTTAGTTAGTTTGGTGTGGAAATCCCTCTTTTAAAGGTGTCCTAAGAATATTCTAAGTAGAGTTTCTGTGGAAATAAGTAAGTTCTCCAAGGTTCAACACATTGCTATCATCATCACCATCATCATCGCTGCCATCACTATCATAATCAACAAAGTCAGGATTCAATCCTGATCCAAAAGTCCATGCTTCCTAAGCACTATACTTGTTAATCAAACTCAGCATAGTTTCCACTGTGAAGACAAAGTACTTAGTACACGCTCACGAATCTGTCTGGTTTTGATCCCATAGATGATGGGATTCAGCATGGGAGGGGCCAGCATGCAGACATTGGCCAGTAGGATGTGGGTGTGGAGAGGAACGTGGTGCCCAAACCTCTGGGTGATTATGGTAAAAATGCCAGGCAGGTAAAACATGGAAATAACCCCAAGGTGGGATCCACATGTGCCCAGGGCCTTTTGCCGGGCTCCTCTGGAAGGGAGGTGGAAGACTGCGTGAAGAATGAGACCGTAGGAGACCAAGATGAGCAAAGCATCGAGCACTACGGTAGAGAGAAGGACAGACAAGCCGTACCAAACATTGACGCGAATATCAGCACAGGCAAACCTCGCAACAGCCATGTGTTCACAGTAGGTGTGCGGCAGCACATTGCTATGGCAGAAAGGCAGGCGTTTCACCAGGAACACGTCCGGGAGGATCACACAGAAACTTCTCAGGACCACAGCCAACCCGATCCTAACAATTACCACATGACCGAGCACTGTGCTGTAGTGCAGTGGGTCACAGATGGCCACATAGCGGTCAAATGCCATGGCCAGCAAAATCCCCGACTCAGCAATGAAGGTAGCATGGATGAAGAAGATTTGAGTGACACAACCATCGAGGGAAATCGCTCCGGCACGAAACCAAAATACGGCCAGAGCCTTGGGCACAGTGGTAGTAGACAGGATGAGGTCAGCCGCAGCCAGCATGCAGAGGAAGAGGTACATGGGCTCATGGAGACTGCGTTCAGTGATGATTACAAGGATGAGAATGATGTTTCCAAAGAGTGCCACCAGGTAGGAAATGAAGAAGGGGAGAGAGATCCACAAGTGCTGCTCTTCCAGGCCAGGGATGCCCAACAGAATGAAGACAGAATGGCTGGTTCCTGTGTAGTTAAAAGTTGCCATGCCCAGGCCAGGTCATTTGTACATTGGAGTATAGGATATGACAGTCAGTTCCCTCTTCCAAAAAAGCTGAATGGGGTTGAGGGGGAGAGAACGGGACATTTTCACTGGATAGAGTAGCAAAAAGCATTCTGGTCAGCAATTGTGGCAACCCCATAACAGGTCTCTTGGTGAGGTGATGCAGACAAATCCTTGGCATTCTATCTACTATATAAACAACAATAAGTTGCTGCCTTGCCCTAGGTTCCTCTAATCATTTGAATCTGAGGGAAAGATGGGGTGCATCGTCTTTAAGACAGACCATCCCACTCTAGAAGGCCACAGCTCTGAGGTGTGGATTTTTCTAAATAGTTACAAGCTGTGAAAAGCAAATTGGAGTATTGCTTCTCAAACGTCGTAACAAAGTTGCCTATCAGCTTAACTGGCACACTGGGCACCAGCTTTGCTCAAGGGATGGGTATTTGAGGAACAGACAAAAAGCAAGTACAGTATCTATTTACATAAAATAAGCAATGTAAAAGGAAAGGCCTAACCTGTGAAGCTTTGGGGGTAGGGAGGAGTTCAGAAAATGCTTTCTAGAAGAGCTTCATGACCTTAGTCTTGAAGACTAAGTAAGGGCTTGCCAAGTAAAGAAGCATGATAACAGAGGAACATGAGCCACATTGAAGACATCTCAAAGGACTCAGGGGTTAGAGGAAATAGGAGCCATGTCGCTGAAGGGCTAGCATTCAGCTCCAGACTTTAGAATGTCTACTGAAGTAGAAGAAGCCACTGAAGACTCATTACTGGGGGCGAGGAAGGAAGTTGCATGGAGAGGAACACTGAAAGAGCTTTTGAAAATGGAACTGAGAGTTCAGGGAAGATATTAAGGGAGCATATTGCACGCTATTGCCTGAGACCTCTACTTTGACTTTGGACATCTATAAAGGCCAGGTAGCTGCACGGTGGTGCATACATGAGTTATCAGACTTGTTTCCTAAACACTGACATCCTATTTACACACCTTTATTTCCACCATCGCCAGCCTCACTTCTTGCAAATGCAGACCCCTCTCTTTTTATCGCACCATGCTGTTAGAAATCAATGCCAGGGTATTGTGCACACTAGGCAAGTACTCTACTACTGAGCCACAGCCTGGCAACATCTAACTTGTCCTTGTTTCTTGAGAGCTACATGTGATGGTGGTGGTGGTGGTGGTGGTGGTGGTGGTGGTGGTGGTGATGGTACATATGTTCTAAGCAGGTACTTTACCATTGAGCTAAATGCCCAGTTTCTCAATATTTCAACAGTTATTAAAATTCCTGCAGAGGAATTTTTATCATTTCGTAGTCAGTCAACACTGCCCATCTAAGCTCTCTGTCTCCTGACTTCTTTGAGATGTAAGAATTCTACCGCTGAAGCATCAGTTCCCACCCTACCCACCACTGCCCTCCTTGGCACACTGACTTGAACCTTTGTTTCTCCCTATCATCTCTTGTAGTTTCTATGTCTGAGCTGATGGACTGGATAAGGAATGGTGGATACAGGTGCATTTTAAGTAGCTCTGGCTTGCAGTGCTGTATCAGATGCATAGAGAAGAGAAGGTGTAGTGAGCAGGGATCAGTTATGGCTGTGCTCAGTCAGGGCTTTGTGTCTCAATCACCACAGCTAAGGTAACAGTGGTAGCCTTCCCATTTTACTTATAGGAGAACAAACACAGCAAGCGTCTCCAGGTTGTCCAAATGGTAGCCTGAAATCTGGATCCCCAAAACAGACTTGAATCCATTCCTGTCTGTCCTACTCCACCCCGCCTCAATTTATCAGACAATTACAAGGTTCAGACTCCTTGTTCAAGGAGGAAGCTAGCGTTAGAGGCCTCACCTTTACCCTCCTTTGGTACCTACAAGTCGATTTATATACAGTCATCTGTCCCCTCTTCCTCCTCTGCAAGGCTGAACCTTCCATATGTAGGCTGGCCCTTTCATTAGCCCTCCACGTTAATCCATCACTAGTGGTTTCCTCTTCTCCCTCTCTGGTGACTGATCCAGCTGTGTACACACGTTTCAATGTCTCATCTCCTTCCCATTTCACAAAAGCGAGGTTTGTCCTCTGCTGCCCATCTCCCTCCTCACAGTCACACACTGCCATCTCCCTGGAGCTGTAACTGCCCTGCATCTCATTCTACAGAATCATCCACTGTGTCATGATTGCCAAACCTACTGTCACCTTTCATTTATGTTTATCTGTAATCTCCAAATACTCATACTTCTTAATTTTATAATAGTAATCATTGAATGCCTGAATATTAAATATATTCTTATTTCTAATCCTTACACCAAATACATGAAATTGAAGCTATCACAAATTTGTACAAGTAACTAACAGTTAAATAAATTTTTTTCAAACAATTAGTAACCTAATATCCAAGTTTAGGTAGCATCAAGCTTCCTTTAATTTTAAAAACCTCCATTGGGCCATCAAGATGACTCAGCATATAAAAGACGCCAAACTTGATGGCATGACTTCGGTTTCTAGAATCCACATAGTGGAAAGAACTGACTCCAACAAGTTGTTCTATAACCTCTTCATGTCATGGCATATACATAACTACACACACATGCAAGCCAAATAAATAAAGAGCATGTGATACAAATATTTCAAAAACCTTCATTCCTTCATGATGATCACCCAAACCATCTTTCAAGGCCTCCATCCCACCCCCACCAATTCGAATTGTGCTACAACTTCAGAGATGTGTCTGACAGTGATAGTGGGAAAGTAATGTGAGCATTGGATTCAGGCTGTCTATGCTGTGTTCAGTTCCTTCCCTGCCAGCTGCACACACACATGCACATGCACACACGTACACTCACACACACACATACACAGGCACACATGCACACACACATATAGTTTCACCACATTCATTCCTATAGTCACCATCATACATGTTCCCTCACAAACGTTCTGATCAAGCAGTGACACTGACACATTTTCACAGTTCACACCAGTAGCCCTTCCCTATGACACTACACAAGCACAGTCAGGCTTCCCCAAACTTATACATGTCACCATTAGCTGTGTAAACTGACTCTTACACACATCATAAGTTACCTGTGTGATGGTTTACATGAGTCATATCAGCCCATCCTCACCCAGCATTCTGGCTTCTTTCTAAACACAGAGCATCCTCTGGAAACTGAGGGTTGGAGCTACTCCCTTACCCCTGCCTCCAACCTCCCTGTCCTCTTACATTTACCTGAAAAGAGAGCTCTCGAAACAGGTAACTCCTATGGCAACATAGCTG